TTTACAATTACTTATATTTAAAGCGAAAAATCTAAAATTTCGTACAAACAAGGACCTCATTTTCCGGCTGTAAATGAGGAACCGCACATTCAAGACGTGAACCCTCTATCCCAGCATTATATATCACGTCTGATCACGTCAGTTTCGCTAGCCTCACCAAAGGCTATGATGGCATAAGAGAAAGCTTCTGCTTCGTATATGCGCAGCCATGAATACAAACTGACCTGAGAACAAAACCTCATGTTATTCATGGGCGCTTTGCTAAGCAAAATAATTCCAACTTGGGTCTATCCAAATATATTATAATTATTGTAGCAGATATGCGTACACCGATCTGTCAGAGGACCTACTCGTCCGTCCATGTTGCCATTAGAGCTCTCACTCGAGCTTCCACCGCGAGGCGGCTAGGATATAGGCAGAAAGACATTACCAGCAAAGACATGGGGCACTAGGAAGGCGTTTCTGGCTCATTTGCCGCCATCGGCTAGTGATACCCAATTACAGTGTTGTCGCTGAAATAGCTGCCACACTCGAATTTTGAAATGGGGTCTCGCCGGTCAGAGCAGAACGTCCTAACCATTAAAATTATTATATATGCTATGGTATAAATAAGATTATTATATAGTCAGACTTGCATAAGGACAGTAAACAAGCGATATACTAACCTGACCCGGAGTTGCAGCTTCCAGTTCCGGCCATTCGAAAAGAAGCGCGTCCGTGGGTGGACCGAATACATTGAAGTCGATAATCTTAACACACTTGGAAGAGCGAAACTAAGAAAGCGGAATAAACTGAAGCTTAATGCCGTCTTACGTTCTGGCTGGTATAGACATCCAGTACATCTAAACAGAAATATTAAATTGGACATATGGCAATACAGTTTTGAAGAGGAAATCGGTCCTTGACTTTTTCTTGAAAGAATTTTGAAATCGCTTGTATTATCTTTGCCTGCTCAGTATCCACAAAGGTGAAGTAGGCGTCCCAGTTCCTTTGAGAAATGGCTAAAATAAGTAAACAGTTTAAATAGTCATAAAAAAATCAAACTGACAGCCGAAAATAAACCTGATTAGCAAGGACATGAAGTCGTCCGATTTTAACTAAAGATGCAAGGTAGTGTTGCTGGAATTCAAAACGTAGTCAGAAAACTGTGACGCGCCTTGTCATTCTCTGAACACTTCAGAGCAACGCTAAAACAATCCAATCTTGAGGGAAGATTCATGACAGATTGTGCTTATCAATACTGACACTTCTTCAAAAAGGGAAGAGAACATTATGTAAATAACGCGTTGCCAGATTGTTTAAACATGGTCCGCCAATAATCGAGCAGAAACGGGCGGCTCAAAGAGGTGACGTGAAGCCTCAAG